CCCAGAGTAGCCTTTGTTTTTGGGTTTAGGTTCCCTTATACGCCCCTCTAGACCAAAAAAGGGTACCCTTTTCATTCCTAGGTTACTCCCGGGTCTGGTAGCTGTCGGTCTCAAAGGAGGGCAGGGCGTTTCCAGCATGTTGAGTGACCTGAGACCCTAAGCACCCCAACAGAAACCCTAATCCCTAACCCTAAACCCTAAACCCTAAACCCCTAAACTCCTAAACTCCTAAACCCAAAACCAAAACCGAAACACCTGAGCCGCGAAATCCTCAGCTTAGGGTTCAGGACCCTAAGCCCGAACACCAAAACCCCTAAACCCTAAACTCAAGACCTTCATACCCTAATTGGGATCTATGGGGCGTATGTTCATGACAGAAGTTGGGGTTCAGCAGTGGCTTAGGGGGGTGCAGAGGTTCAGGTGCTAGAGGGTTCAGAGATTATCGGCTAGGGTTTGCTCAAGGAGCTTGAATTGAGCGAGAGTATAATCTCCATGGCCTCAAGCTATAAGTTTCTTGGGCGCCGTCGTGGTCGGAACACCATCGCGTCAAGCAACAAGCCATCCTTTTTCAAACCCTTAACCCTATACCCTGTTCTCTAGACCCAACACCCGAAAGTGCAAAGCCGTCTCTCTACAGTTGCCCCGTGGAGCCTGGCTAGACGGGTGGCAAAAAAAGCCGAAAGGCCCTTACATTCCCTTGTAGGGTTCTTGAGGGAGGGGTGTTCAAGGGGGGCATACAACCCAAGGTTCCCTAATGCTCCCTACTACTCCCTAAGGCTCCCTATAAGCTTCCCGACGGTTCCCGAGGCACCGAACCCCCTTGAAACCCCCCTTCCTTAAGAATCCTAACCCTTAACCCTAAACCCCTTACAAATTCTGAAACGGAATCCCCAGAGGCAACCCCCAGCTTCCATGCTACGTGTGGCCAGGTCAGACACTGACGACGATGAGGCGCCCACAATAAGAAAACATGGGTTTAGGGTTCAGGGTTCAGGGTTTAGGGTTTGGTGTTCAGGGTTTAGGGTTTACGGTTTATCTGTAGCAATAATGTGAAATTCGAGTCGTAGCAATAGGGACAATTGATGTAAATCATGGTCATCATGGTAATGTTCGTAGTAATTGGAGTCTTGGGCAGGTATTGGCGAAGTAGCAGGAACTGCATGTCAAAGTTGCGCCTGCGGGTGAAGGCTTAGTGTCGAGCAAGTTGTCGCTCACAAACAGCGAGAACAACAACCCGCGCACTGTATGATCCCAGCTTAAGCTTTATGAAGCAAAACGACCTCTTGCAATAACAGTCCTCCAAGGATACCGAAACCCGCTTCCGAATGAAAGCAAGACAGGGCCCTACCTAGTAAGTAGAATTCTCTTTTTCGGGCACTCGACATCACTTTTAGGGTTTAGGGTTTTGAGTTTCGCATTAGGGTTGGCAATCATGTAGGCGCCTGTTTATTCCACGTACTGGTGCCATTGTTTGCGGCTCTCAGACTGCACTGCCCTTCCGCCGGATGTATGTAACTTGGGGTGTTCCCCCTTATACTAACAGCTCTTTCGATGATAGTAGGGAGTGCTGCAATCCCCATTAAGGACTGTTAGCATAAGGGGGAACATCCCAATATATAACCCTAAGTCTACTATTTGCTTAAGAACCACCCCCCCCCCCCCCCCCCACAAAAGAAAGCACAAGAATCCTCATATTACTCTGATAGAGAAGAATCTGCTTTTTTGGGTTGGGGGGGGGGGGGGCTATTCACCCTTATAGTGCCCTGGTAAGGAGACTATTTGTTGTTCTTTGTTGTTTTTTTTTTTTTTTTTTTTTTTTTTTGGGGGGGGGGGGGGGGTGGGGAAGCGGGTTCTTAAGCAACTAAGTAGAGATTCAACCTGTGCTGTTCGAAGGCTTATTGGGGACTCGGGTTTTTGGGCTCAGGGCGCTAGGGTTTCAGGGTCTAGGGTTTACCGGCTTAGGGTTTAGGGTTGAGGATTTAGGGTTTACCGGTTTAGGGTTCAGGGTTCAGGGTTTAGGGTTTAGGGTTCAGGGGGGGCTTGTTTTGTCTGTGCCGCCAGGCGATGATCCAAGTTCAGCGTGCGGAGCTGGTTCGAGGGCACAGGCGAGGGTGTGTTGGAGTTCAATGAAAACGTACAATTTTTGCTGGCTACCTGCTAAACCCTAAACCCTAAACCCAAAGACGTCAGTACAAAGTCTCCTTTGTTCAAGCAAGGTTCGGGAGCCCGTACACACTCCCACACATGGGGATGTTCGCCCTTACGCTAGCAGTCACTAAAGGGGATTAGAGTACCCGGTATTCTAATCCCTACTAAGGACTGTTAGTTTAAGGCCCAAATCCCTAAACCCTGAACCCTTAACCCTAAACCAATCCAACTCCGACGACCCTTGCATTTGCCTTCGCAAAAAGGCCGGTTGTGGTCTCCGAAGTGCCCGTCTATGCTGCTAGACCGCACAGATGTTTCGGGTTTAGGGTTTAGGGGTTAGGGCACAGGGGTACAAGGTACTAGTTATAGTTAAGGGACTTAGAACCGAAGTTCGGACCCTTCTAACCCAGTCTATGGCCCTTAGAACATTTTTTTTTGCTAGGGGGCCCCTCCTTGTAGTTCTTCAACTGACATGGTGTTGTTTTGGTGTGGTCTTGCTTTGTGTTTTTGTCTTTTGCCGAAGGCTGGCTCCAATCCACACCCAGAATTCCAAACCCTAAACACGACAGTTGGGACGTTCCCCCTTATACTAGCAGTCCTAACTATGGATTATAGTACCCCCTATTATTCTCCCTATTTAAGGACTGTTAGTAGAAGGGGAATGCTCTCCCTAAACCCTAAACCCGAAACCCTAAACCCTAAAGGCTTTGAGTCGGTCCAAGCCCAAAAAGCCCCTCAACATGGGTCGGAAGAATTACCAGTAGTACTCCCTTAGTGGTCCCGAGATCACTATACTATAATCAACCCCCCCCCCCCCCCCCTCCCCTCCCCCCCCCCCCCCCTCCCCTCCCCCCCCCCTCCCCTCCCCCCCCCCCCCTCCCCTCCCCCCCCGCCCCGTCCTCCCCCCCCTCCGTGCCTTGGACGCTTAACGTCTATTCTGCGCGTGCTCTTTGTTTTCTTGGAGTTTTTCCCGAAAACCAATTCTGAAATTGGGTTCTCGTTTGGCGCTTTAATGCGGAAGGCGTTCTATCGGATCGCTTCTTGGAGGGTCGGACGGAATGAATTTTGACGGCAGGCCGCGGAGCGCGGAGACGACACGGTCAAGGGAGGGGGTTCGGAACACCTTGCTGGAGAGGGGCGTGGTGTGGGCCCACGCCCTCAGCGCTCCCGCGCCCTCCGCGCCCTCCGCACCCTCCCCGCCCTCCGCACCCTCCGCACCCTCCGCACCCTCCGCGCCCTCCGCGCCCTCCGCGCCCTCCGCGCCCTCCGCGCCCTCCGCGCCCTCCGCGCCCTCCGCGCCCTCCGCACCCTCCGCGCCCTCCGCGCCCTCCGCGCCCTCCGCGCCCTCCGCGCCCTCCGCGCCCCCGCCCGGGACACAGTGTGCTGATGCTAAGGGTGCATTGCGTCTATTCTGCGGGTGCGTTGCGTCTATTCTGCGGGTGTTTCCTTTGTAAAGTATTTGTTTACAAGGCACGCACGTGCAGCATAGCCTTTAAGTGTCCATCTTACCCACCCCCCCCCCCCCCCCCCCCCCCCCCCCCCCCCCCCCCCCCCCCCCCCCACCCCGCTCCCCCCCCCCCCCCCCCCCCCCCCCCCCCCCCCCCCCCCCCCCCCCCCCCCCCCCCCCCCCCCCCCCCCCCCCCCCCCCCCCTCCCCCCCCCTCCCCCCCCCCCCCCCCCCCCCCCCCCCCCCCCCCCCCCCCCCCCCCCCCCCCCCCTCCCCCCCCCAAAGCCCGATTCTAATTATTAGGGCACCCTAAACACTAAGCCCTAAAATCCTAGAACCCTAAACCCTGGAACCCTGAAACCCTAGACCCCTAAACCCTAAACCCTAAACCCTAAACCGACTTGCAAGGGGCATAGGGGCAGCTTCGGAAAACCCTTCAAGGCCTGTAGGCTCCAATCCATCCGGGAGTTTAGGGGTCAGAAAATGTTTAGGGTTTAGGGTTTAGGGTTTAGGGTTTAGGGTTTAGGGTTTAGGGTTTAGGGTTTAGGGTTTAGGGTTTAGGGGGGATTAAGAGCTGCTTTGCCATAGTGGGATGGTTGCAGAGGTGTTTTGCGCGCCTAGCCGCAGTGTGCAGTCGGACCCGTTGAAGTCTGAGGGTAGGGTGGAACATGGGGCAGGGTCTGGGGCCTAGTTTTAGGGTTTAGGGTTTAGGGTTTAGGGCTAGGGTTTAGGGTTGAGGGCTAGGGTCAGAGTACCCCGAAGAGCCAGCTGACAGGGCAAGATGAGAGCCGAAGCCCTAAACCCTAAACCCCAAACCCTAAACCCTAAACCCTAAACCCTAAACCCTAGACCCTAAACCCTAAACCCTAAACTCCAAACAACCCCTAAGCTGCAAAATCTATTTCAGGCTGATAAAGACTAAGGTGGCGCTGGAAGATCGGGACGGGCGTCGCTTCGAGGACAAGGGCACCTGCAAGCATGCGACATGGTCGGGTGTAAGGGTTTATAGGGTTTAGGGTGTGAGGGTTTAGGGTTCAGGGTTTAGGGATTCAGGATTCGGGAGTAAGTTCTTCAAGGTGTAGGAAGGGAGTTTCGGGAAGGTATAGGGGTTTACAATCTAAAGGTTTAGGGACTACAACTACCCTTCAGTAGCCCAGTACGGACGGCGATCCCTTTACGAAGCCCGTGTCAAAGCAACCCCTGTCGTGTGGTTGAATCCTTGTGTTGGTGCGCGTTGTGGTTGCCTTTCGGGTCTAGCGTATTTAAGGTTCAGGGTCTAGCGATTTAGGGTTCGTTCAGAGCCCGAAAACCCTACACCCTAATCAAGCCTAAACCCTAAACCCTAAACCCTACACCCCCAAGCCGAAGAAGGCTCCTACAGCGATTCTGAGGTGAAGTACCGATGGATGCGCGGACCCCGCATCCAGCCATGCTTCTACCATCCACATAAGATGCCGCTCGAGCTGCAGTTAGTTTATTTAGGGGTTTAGGGTTTAGGGTTTAGGGTTTAGGGTTTAGGTGTTTAGGGTTTTAGGGGAGGAGGTCTCTGGAGAGGGTGGGCACTCTGTGTATGTGGCGAACACGGCGCCTTCTGAGCACCCACTGCCGGGTTTCAGGTTTGAGGGTTTAGGGATCCTGAACCCTAAACCATAAACAACCCTAAACCCCAAAACCCCTCTTAAACCCTAAACCCCTAAACCCGAAAGCCCGAAACCCCTAAACCCTTAACCCCTAAACCCTAAAGCCCTAAAACCCTGCCTAAACCCCTAAAACCCTAAACCCCAAAAACACTAAAATCCCAAACCCCTAAACCCCTAAACCCTATCCTTAACCCTAAACCCCAAAACCCCAAAACCCCAAAACCCCTAAAACCCTAAACCCCTAAACCCCTAAACCCCTAAAACCCTAAACCCCTAAGCCCCTAAACCCTATCCTTAACCCTAAACCCCAAAACCCTAAAACCCTAAGACCCTAAACCCCTAAACCCCTAAACCCCTAAAACCCCAAAAACCCTAAAACCCTAAACCCCTAAACCCTAAAGCCAAAACCCCTACACTTCCATCCCCAGGTCGACGATCTGCGACGTGGCCAAGACCTACAGGCACTACTGCTCCCGGGAGTGCTTCCTGCGAGGCCAGGGTTTAGGGGTTTAGGGTTTAGGGTTTAGGGTTTAGGGTTTAGGGTTCAGGGTTTAGGGTTTAGGGTTTAGGATTTGTAGGTTGGGCTGAGTGTGCGCGCTTGATTTGGCTTGTGTCGACGTCAGTCAAGACGATTGAATGTCGGGAGATGAGTGCTCCAATTCTCGGATGCGAGTAACCATGATTTCCTGACCATTCCCGGCCGACTCCCCAAGCCCGGATGCAAAAGGGTTTAGGGTTTAGGGTTTAGGCTTTAGGGTTTAGAGTATTCAGGGTTTGGGGTTCAGGGTTTAGGGTTTAGGGTTTAGGGTTTAGGGCATTCAGGGTTTCGGAGTGCTTGATGCGAGCGCCTGGGGCGCTGGAACCTAAACAGGGTCTTTAGGGTTTGGGATTTAGGGTTTAGGGCTAGGGTTTAGGGTTTAGGGTTTTTAGGGTTTAGGGTTTAGGGTTTAGGGCTGAGAGGTTTAGGTATCCAGGGTATACCGGTGTATAGGGTGTATAGAGTTTAGGGACCCCAAAGTTCTTCTTCCTACCCTCTTCAATCCGTAGCCTGGTCTGGGCGAAGACTTCACCTGCAGAGGCCTCCAGTTGCAGAGCCACCCAAAACTTAAGCTGTTAGGGTTTAGGGTTTAGGGTTTAGGGTTTAGGGTTTAAGGTTTAGGGTTTAGGGTTTAGGGCCTAGGGTTTAGGGTTTAGGTTTTAGGGTTTTAGGGTTTTGGGTTTAGGGTTTAGGACTTAGGGGGCCCCCAAGTACTACTTACCGAGAAGAAGGGTTTGCTGTAGGCCTTGTTGGTGTTGATGTTTATTTATGGTTGAGGATTCTATAAACCCTAAACCCTCAACACTCAACCCTCAACCCTCAACCCTAAACCCTAAACCTATCCCTGCGAAGAATGCATCAGAGGCTGGCACACACTGCCACAGCATTCCTGGAATCCGAAGCCCGACGATAACGAGGCCGAGGACAACGAGGGGCCTAGGGTCACATAAGGCCCCTAAAACCCTAAACCCTAAACCCTAAACCCCAAACCCTAAACCCGAAACCCTAAACCCTAAACCTGGAGTAGGGCACTTCAACACAGTCGGATGCCTTTTGGAACGATTTGGGGTTTCACCAAATGTGCGTAGCAGAGCACAGAGAAGGCCCCGAAAACCAAAGCCCCAGAGTGTACCGGCTTAATCGTTTAGGTTTGGGGTTTGGGGTTTAGGGTTTAGGGTTTAGGGTTTCGGGTTTAGGGTTTAGGGTTTAGGGTGGTCCGAAGCCCACCCTGTCGAGGATCCCATCGCGCAGTGGACTGAGGTGGGACAACAGCGCCACTCCGCTACGGCGATTTCTTCGTAATCGTTTTGTGTACACACAAGGAGGAAACCCGAAACCCTAAACCCTAAACCCTAAACCCCAAAACCTGCGACCCCCAAACGGTAGAGTTAGAAGGGCCCTAAATTGGGGTTATAAGGATCCTAAATTAGGTTCCAATTCCCTCAAGTATAGTTAGTAAAGTAAGCAGGCCCCTCCTTGCATTGGGGGCGGAAGGGGGGGAGGGGTTGTTGTACAAAAGGGTCCCCTCGCCTTATTATAGTACCTCTCACAATCGGAACCCCTTCCCAAAAGGGACCCCAGTTCGGAACAAGCTCCTGGTTCGTAGGTCTTTGAAGATTCGAAGGCGAAGGTGTTTTTGTGCAGCCTCTCGCAGGATGAGGGCTGCAGCTTGCCTTGCCGAAATACTTTAACTGTAGAACTAAATCAAGTTAGTTCTAAGTATGTTCTAACATAACTAGGACAACATGATAATTAGTGTAAACATGGCAAAGTCTTTCAGGACCGCCAAGTAGGTAGCCGTCTTCTCGCTGCCTGGGCGACAGCCCGAGACGTAGCCGAGGTCAATATAGCCCGACGCAGAACGACATCGAGAGGCCTCTTCGTTTGGTACCTTCTCAGCAAGTATGGGCACAGAAGTCCCCCCCCCTCCCCTCCCCAGAATGGTGCCGCTGCTAGATGACTGCACATAATATAGCGTTGAGGCCATTTTCTCGGGCATCTACCCTCAAGTGTTCCGCCACAAGACGCGACTTAAGGCAGAAGCCACCACAGTATGAGATGGCTGGCAGGGGGATTGGGGGGGTGGGGGGGGAGGGGGCGCGACTCTTCCGAAGGTCAGCTTCTTCGGGTGTCCTGCTCCCTATGCCCACTACATCGCCATTGTACTACGACCCAGACCCTAAACCCTAAACCCAACCCTGAACCTTAAACTAAAACCGAACCCCTCAACCCTGAACCCTATACAAGCCCGAAAAGAGGCTGCCGGGAACCTCACCCTAAACCCCAAACCCTAAACACTAAGCCCTGAACCCTAAACCCTGAACCCTAAACCCTAAGCCCTAAGCGCTAAACCCTAAACCCTAGCCCTAAACCCTAAACCCCGAACCCCGAACCCCGAACCCCGAACCCTCTACGAGAACCTTACACCGGCCCACCTCAGGACATCATCCCGCTGACCAAGAGCGGCAAGGAGGCCTCCTGGGAGCTTAAAAGATTCTGAGGATGCCTTTGGATTTGAGGGGGGGGGGGGGGGGGGGTTTAGGGTTTAGGGTTTAGGGTTTAGGGCTTAGGGCTTAGGGCTTAGGGCTTAGGGCTTAGGGCGTAGGGCTTAGGGCTTAGGGCTTAGGGTTTAGGGTTGGTGTGAAGTGGGCCTCAAAGTTCGAGTCAAACCTCAAGCCTACAAACCCGAAACTCCAAGCTGTCCGTGACCCCAACCTCCCCAACCTCCCTAAACCTCTAAACCTCTAAACCTCTAAGCCTCTAAACCTCTAAACCTCTAAACCTCTAAACCTCTAAACCTCTAAACCTCTAAACCCCTAAGTCCCCTAAGACCCTAAGACCCTAAACCCACCCCTTGGATACCCTTCGTGAACCTACTGGTAGCTCATAACCCTAAACCCTAAACCCTAAACCCTAAACCCTAAACCCTAAACCGGTGGGCCAGGCCCCCAAGGGGAAGATGACGATCACCACGGGCACGGTCATCCCGACGCCCAAGGAAGCCCGCATGCGCCAGATGATTAGCAGCCCGGAGGAGATTTGAAGGTAGGGTTTAGGGTTTGGGGGTTTAGGGTTTGGGGGTTTAGGGTTTAGGGTTTAGGGTTTAGGGGTTTAGGGTTTAGGGGCTTAGGGGTTAGGGGGTTTAGGGGCCCCCAAGGTATAAGTAGAGTCAAAAGCGCACTAAATTGGGTTATAAGGACTCCTTGTAGCCTTTGCGGATAGGGCTTGAGGTGTTCCCTGAACGACCCTAAGCCCTAAACCCTGAACCCTAAACCCGAAACGGGAGAGGGGGGGAGGGGGGTATGGGGACCAGAGCAGAAAACAAAACCATCAATTAGAGGGTTCTGAAGGGGAGGAGTTCAAAGGGGCATTAACCCAAGCTGCCTCATACTCCCCAGTACGCCCTAAGGCTCCCCAAGCTTTTCTAAGGTTCCCTAGGTACCTACCCACCATGAACCCCCTCCGTGAAGGACACTTCACATCATGGTGCTTCCTGAAATAAGTTTGCTTACTTTGCTTACCCCCATATATAGCTCCATCCCCTTCATCAGGACCCCCCTCCCCCCAAAGGTGACCCCAACACTGTTGGGGTCCCAAGCCCTAAACCCTAAACCCTAAACCCCAAAGCCTACAGCCTCAACTCAACCCCGGCCCTCCGCGCAAGGCAACGGTGGGACCTTCAACGCAGAGTGGCTGCAAAAGCAGTTCAAGGCTCACGGAGCCTTGGAGCTTCAGTCCCAGGAGGTAGGAAGAACTCAACAACCATCGTTCTGCATCTTCGGGTTTAGGGTTTAGGGTTCAGGGTTTAGGTTTTGGGGTTTTGGGGTTTAGGGTTTAGGGTTTAGGGTTTAGGGTTTAGGGTTTAGATGCTGATACCTGCAGCAGTCCGCCGAGTGAAAGCTTCAAGGCGTTCAGAGCTCAGGGCACTTGGGGGATTAAATCTTTCGGGAAATTTTGGTTTCCAGGGCCCCGAATCAAAGAAGCTCGGGACAACCTAAACTGCACCTAAACCCTGAACCCTAAACCCTCCTGAATACGCCATCTACCCTGCTCAGTGGACCTCAGTCAGCTAGGGGGGAGGCAAAAAGAAGCAAAACCCTGAACCCTAAACCCTAAACTCCCTAAACCCTAAAACCAAACTGGATGGAGGTCTTCAACTGGAACATCCTGGCCGACTTGTACGCAACGGAGAACGCCACTCCGCCAAATGTTGGGCTTGGGGTTTTGGGGTTTTGGGGTTTTGGGGTTTTGGGGTTTTGGGGTTTTGGGGTTTTGGGGTTTTGGGGTTTTGGGGTTTTGGGGTTTTGGGGTTTTGGGGTTTTGGGGTTTTGGGGTTTTGGGGGTTTGGGGTTTTGGGGTTTTGGGGTTTTGGGGTTTTGGGGGTTTGGGGTTTGGGGTTTGGGGTTTTGGGGTTTTGGGGTTTTGGGGTTTTTGGGGTTTTGGGGTTTTGGGGTTTTGGGGTTTTGGGGTTTTGGGGGGTTTGGGTTTTCGGGGGGGTTTCGGGGTTTCGGGGTTTCGGGGTTTAGGGGGCTTTTGGGGTTTCGGGGGTTTCGGAGGTTTTGGGGTTTTGGGGGTTTTGGGGGTTTTGGGGGTTTTGGGGGTTTTGGGGGTTTTGGGGGTTTTGGGGTTTAGACCTTGGGGTTGAGGGTTGGGCTTGAAAAAGGGTCTAGGGCCCAGGGTGCACCCGAAACCATTTTGCGGTCGGGGCTTGGGGTTTAGGGGCATAGGGTTCGGGTTTGGGGTAGAAGTCGTAAGCGTGACCCGAGAGCACGATCGCGAAATATACCCCAGCATTGCAGTTCAGGCTAAACCCGAAACCCGAAACCTAAACCCTAAACCCTAAACCCCAAACCCCTAAAGCCAAGCCCTAAACCCTGAAACCCCTAAACCCCTAAACCCCTAAACCCTAAACCCTGCCCTGCCCCGAAACCCTCCTCCTGAAGCCGCGCTCCTGACATTGCAGCGGAAACAGAGTTCGGGGTGGTCCTTGTGAAGCAGCATAGGGAGTTTTTACAGGGTTCGGGTGTGGGGTGAAGGGATATTGGGGTGTTTGCAGGGGGGGGTGGGGGGTGGGGGGGGGCGTGCCCTTTCTTTGTTGGGTAGTGCCCTTTTTGGGGTTGGGGTCGCCAGCCCTAAACTCCAGATCTCCCTGCTCAACCCGACGCCCTCAACGCATACGTACTGTATAAGGCCGTTAGTTTGCATAAGCCTGGCAAGCTGGATGTTTCGGGACCAGGCTTTGGGGTTTGGGGTTTGTGCGACCTGTCATGCGGACCTCTCCGAAGCATACAGCTTGGGGTGAGAGTACGAAGGGAGTGTAGCCAACTACAAATTAGAAGCCTAGATTCAAGGATTTAGGGTTTATAAGTTTTAGGGTTGGGGGGTGTAGGGGCCCATCCTATCTACCCTCACCCCCTTTTGAACCCATGACCAAGGTCTACCCCTACTGCGAGAAGTGGGCACTGAGTTGGAATTGGCGAAAGCACCTCATCATCAAGGACCCACCTAAACCCTAAACCCTAAACCCTGAACCCTGATCCCTGAACCCTGAACCCTGAACCCTAAACCGTGGCTCTACCCCGTCGACTCAACGAAGTAGGATTCAACCTTCCGTCCTGGTTATTGATGCTTTGCACCCTCAAGCCCTATATCTAAACCCCAAACCCTGAACCCTAAACGCCAAACCCTAAACCCTGAACCCGACACCCTAAACCCTAAACCCTAAGCCCTAAGCCCTAAACCCTAAACCCTTTGCTTTCCAAGCCCAGAGCCGCGCTCAAAAAGCAAGCATCGGCATCTAATGATATCCTGGCGCCCCAGATCCTAACATCCAGCTTGGGATGTTCCCTCTTATACTAAGGTCCTCCCTAGGCCCTAACCCTAAACCCAAAACCCTAAACCCTAAACCCTGAAGAGTCCTTAATAGGGACTATGGTACCCCCCTTATTATTATTATCCCTATTAAGGACTGTTAGTATAAGGGGGAACATCCCAGCTACTTGGCAGCCACGGGAGTCTCTAAATCATATGCCACACTACAGCTTGGCGTGTGAAACTGCAACCCTAGGCCCTTAATCCGGAACCCTAAGCCCTAAACCATAAACCCCGAAAACCCTAGCCCTAAACCTGAAACCCCAAAAACCCTAAGCCCTAAATCCTAAACCCCGACGCCACAAGCCCCAAACCCTAAACCCCAAAAACCCAAAGCTACGGCGGATTCAGGGCTTGTTGTAGCCATGCGTGGTCAGAAAAGTTTGAAGTCGGATGCAGGGCCTAGGGTTACTCTCTAGAGTATCGGGAGTTTAGGGTTTAGGGCTTTGGCTTTGGGTTTAGGATTTAGGGTTTAGGGGTTTAGGGATTAGGGTTTAGGGTTTAGGGTTTTGGGTTCAACAGGGACTTTGGCTGAGCTTCTTGAACTCCAATGGTTGGTCGTGTACGGGCAAGCGTTTCTGCGAGTCCCCGTCAACACCCCAGAATCTATAGTGTGGGTAGTTCTCTAAAGAAGGGTCCCTTTGTGGGTACCCATGATAAGGCGGCACCCTGTATAAAGGGATCCCCAAAAAGCGGACCCAAATTTGGGAAAACACCCATGTAGGGGTCAGCATTGCTTATTGTATTTCCATATGGCCCCTATATATGTATACTCGAATATCCCCAAAACCTTATTCTAATTATCCAATTATTAGGGCCCTACAGTCGCCTCGTTCTGTATGTACACCTTGTGATCCTAAACTTGCTGGTTGCTTAGTGGGGACTGAGGGAATTAGGTACCCTTATATCCCCTACATCTACCCCTTCAAGAGATTCTGTAGGGTACCTCATTCCCTCATTCCCTACGAAGAGTAGGCAAACGGTTGAGCCCTGTACCCTACACCCTAAGTGTGACATCCTACAACGGCCCCGAGCAGCAGGAAGTGAAGTCCATGGGAGCAGACATCATCACTCTTCAGGAGGTGGGTGGGGTTTAGGGTTTAGGGTTTAGGGTTTAGGGTTTAGGGTTTAGGGTTTAGGGTTTAGGGTTTAGGGTTTAGGGTTTAGGGTTTAGGGTTTAGGGTTTAGGGTTTAGGGTTTAGGGTTTAGGGTTTAGGGTTTAGGGTTTAGGGCTTCTCGCCGCGCCGCGGCAGTAGATTTCATGCGGAGATGGCGCCCCAACACACCCAAGAGGTGTGAGGGGGCGGCATATGTCGCGGCGGCGTGTATTGAAGTTGGAGCCACCACAACCAGAAAGGTTGGGTTGCTTTATTTTCCCCACCCCCTGCTTACGCAGGCATCCACCCAACTTTTCTCCTTTTAGGGTTTCGGGCTGACGCCCTAAATTCCCACTTCCCATCCCCATGCTTTGAAAGTGGGAGGGGGGGGGGGGGGGGGGGCGGGGGGAGGAGGGGGGGGGGGGGAGGGGGGAGGGGGGGGAGGGGGGGGGGGGGGAGGGGGGGGGAGGGGGGGGGGGAGGGGAGGGGGGGGAGGGAGGGGGGGGGGATGGGGGGGGGGGGAGAGGGGGGGGGAGGGGGGGGGAGGGTATGAGGACTGTTAGAAAAAGGAAGAACATCCCAAGCCAAACGCGTCGCTGTGAAACGGGCGTTGCTCTGCGCATGCGCAGGGTTGACGTTGAGCCGAGGGCTGCGCGCGATGAGCACGCTTAAACCTACGTGCCTAACCCTCCCAACCCTAAACCCTGAACCCTAAACCCCAAACCTTACAACTCCCTAAGCCCCAGAGCCCCAGAGCCCCAACCCCAAACCCCAAACCCTAAACCTTAAAACCCCAAACCCTAAACCCTAAACCCCAAACCCAAGTCACCAAACTCCAAAACTCCCACTTTGTCAGGTTCAAAAGGATGCCTTCGATGAGTGGTTCAAGCCAGAGTTGGCCACGGAGCAGTACGAGGGCCTCTTCCAACAGCCGCTTGCCTTTAGGGTTTAGGGTTTAGGGTTTAGGGTTTAGGGTTTAGGGTTTAGGGTTTAGGGTTTAGGGTTTAGGGTTTAGGGTTTAGGGTTTAGGGTTTAGGGTTTAGGGTTTAGGGTTTAGGGTTTAGGGTTTGGGGGGCGGTTAAGGCCAAGGCCAAGGGGCTCAGGGTTTAGGATTTGGGGGTTTGCGTGGGGTTTAGGGCTTACGACGTAGGGCTTTTTTGGGTGTAGGGCTTACTCTTAAATCGAATACTGAAAATGTGAACGTGAGTATGCTGAGGTCCACGTTCTACAGCCACCTGGAGAGGGTTTGGGGTTTAGGGTTTACGGCTTAGGGGACTCAAATTTAGCGATGGGACGGAAGAGTCTTCCTCATAGTAGCAGTCAGCATATGAGCCATTCACAGCAAGTTCCCAGCAAGATATCTACAAAGAGGGGCCCCCCTAGTTAGAAGTAGACTTGGGTCCTGAAGTGGGTTCAAAGGATCCTAACTTAGGGACAAGGGTTTAGGGTTTGGAGTTTAGGGCCCTTTACGATAGCGATGATAGTAAGGGGGCCCCTCCTTGTAGCAAAAATTGCTACGGTATGAGGGAACAACATCCCATGGTGCTTTTTTGGGACAACATCTTGGGAGGGGCCCCTTTGGGGTTTAGGCTTTAAAAACCCTGCATGTTGGCTGAAGTTGAGAACTCTTGGTAGAACTTGTAGCGATCCTCTAGCTACTGCTGCTAGTGTAGCTTGTCAGCCGCTGCGGAAAGCAGTTGCGCTGACGCTCATGGCGTTGGAGCTTGAGTACCGCGGGACTTTCATCGACGTCCAGGAGGACCCGTTCGAGGTTTCAGGTTCCATCGTGCGTTCCGCCAGCGCTCCGGCAATGTACGTGAGGACGCTGGAGTGCGCTGCCGAGGTTGAGGAGCGACAGCTGAAAGGCTATGTGGAGAACCTGCCCCAGAGCATGGCAGAGCTGTCGGAAGAAATCAACCAAAAAGGCACAAAGAGCCATGCAGCAGAGCCGACCGCTGCAGAAGAGGTTCAGCCGGTTCAGCTTGAAGTGATGCCAGGCTCGGAATCCCAGGGTGATCCGAGCCCTCTGCCTCACGTTCCTTCCTTTCGTTGTTTGAGCGAAGGGAGCGTGGGGCATCCCGAGGTGTGCCGCCGACCATGCGTGTACTTCAACCGGGGGTTCTGTCAGAGTGGTGCCGCTTGCACGTACTGCCATTGCCAGCACACAGACCGCGATCCCAAGCCGGACAAGAAGCAGCGCACCACACTGGACGAGATCACCCAGGCCCAGCTCCTTACGTTGGTGTTGCGCTTCCTGCGCCAGCGTGCCGAGGCGACCGGCATGGCGGACAAGGCAACAGGCGTTCTCGCCATCCTTGAGCAGGAGCTGCGCTTCTGGCAGGGAGAATCAGAGGTTGTCGAAGCAGCTATGGACAACAAGGCTCGCAAGCTCGGCAAAGTGATGGCGAGGATGTCCTTCGGAGCCCTGCTCAGCCTTGCCTCACACCGATTGGACCGCGAAGAGTTCCAGCACCTCCTTAGTCAGGAGATGGAAGTCCTGCGTCAGTCTGTCTAAGCTCCTTGACATTTTAGAGCATGCAGCTTGCTGCGTGCAGGTTTGTTTCGAATTCAGAAGGTGCATTGCTCAAGGAAGCATCAGCTGTTCCAGGAAGACTTTTTCATGCACAGGCGAGTGGCGACTTTGGGTTCTCTCAAGCGCTTTAAAATGTCCAAAGCCCGAGTTTTCAAGAGCGGCTAATTTTAAGGATCTCAGAGGTGTCCACGGAAAGAGCCCACGAGCCGTCACGAGCCCGCTACGCACGCTTTCCCCTGGCATGCGACAGATGATGTCAGGCTTGCGTGTTTGCCGCAGGCGCCAGCAGGCGCGCGTCCAAGCATCGAAGTCACCAAGTGCAGGCACTTGATGCAGCATGCAGACCTAGGCAGGCCCTTGCAATATGGTGTTTAGGGTTTAGGGGTTTAGAGGGTTGAGGGTTGAGGGTTGAAGAGAGACTTCTACACAGGAATACATTTTTCAGAGGGGTTTAAGGGCACTCCTCATGATGACAGCATGCTTGTGCTATGGCCATGACCATCAGGAGGCCCCATCCTGGGCAGGAGAGGCAAGCCGAGCAGTACGCTTGGTCATAAGGTCATAAGGGATTTAGGGTTTAGGGTTTAGGTTCAAAAGGGAACATCCCGTGCTTGAAATGAACTGCTGCGCAGGCCTCTTTTCGCAAGACGTGCGACTTCCCAGGAACCGATGCTCCTCCAGCCCCCTACGTCTCTTTCGAGAACCTGGGAATCCCTAGCCCAAAAACCCTAACCCCTAGACCCTATACCCTGTGAACCCTAAACCCTCAATCCCAAACCCTGCGAACTCTGAACCCGAAACCCTCATTCTGAACTCCTTTTGAGCCATCCGGCTTAGGGGGCGAGGGCTTTTTGTTTCCTGGCGTTTGCGGCCTTCCCATGCCTTTTGCGACGGGGATCTCCAAGGCGGTGCAGATCTCCACGCCTGTGCATGGTCTATGTTGTTTAAGGTTTAGGGTTTAGGGTTTAGGGTTTAGGGTTTAGGGTTTAGGGTTCAGGGTTCAGGGTTCAGGGTTCAGGGTTTAGGACGCAGAGAAACTTTTTGATGCTCCTCCATTGGACCACGGGGCAGCTGACATCCCCTGATGGGTGCAGCTGGCTGCGTGCGTCGAGAAGAGGGCAGTCCACTCGAAGCTGAGGTTGCGGTGACCCCTGGACTGCCACAAGCTAGGGTTTAGGGTTTAGGGTTTAGGGTTTAGGGTTTAGGGTTTAGGGTTTAGGGTTTAGGGTTTAGGGTTTAATTAGGGTTTAGGGTTTAGGGTTTAGGGTTTAGGGTTTAGGGTCTAGGGTTTAGGGTTTAGGGTCTAGGGTCTCAGCCACAAGCTAGGCCTTGGGCTCCTCGCCAAAAGACAGAGTCCCGCTAAGGGGATTCTATTCTATTTGAGGTTTTAAAGGGGTACCCCTATTCTACTTTAGGAAGCCCTAAACCCTAACCCTAAAACCCCCAATTTTTTTTTGAATGCAAGCTATCTAACAGACCGACTCCCAGCCCGATATTGCTTCGAGCTATGCAGTCAGTGGCAGTCAGGCGCCCGCACCTGGCTTCTTTCGACCCTCCTGCCGATACCCTAGTCTCGGGGGTTGCTGCCAGGGTTTCGGGTTTGGGGTTTATAGGGTTTAGGATTTAGGGTTGACAGTGCAGCAGTCCTAGCCGTAAGAAGGGTTTAGGATCTCGGGTTTAAGTTAAGAGCTGCTAGGGAACTTTCAAGACGCATCCACTATATGGATGGTTTAGTTTCATATAATTCTTATGCATGGCATTCCAAATAGTCGAAGTTCCTCATCGTGGTACCTGAAATGCAATTGTCATACTATGAACACAAGGGATGGTGCATAAACTTGTCTGCTTACTAGAACTAGGACCCAGAGTGGGCCCGCATCCCCCTTTTTTTTTGGGGGGGGGGGGGGGGGGGTTGAGGTTCCCTTGTCATCCCCGTCAAACCAAAAAGGGCACCATTTTTAATCCTAGCTTACTCTCGGGTCCCTGAACCCTAAGCCCTAAACCCTAAACCCTAAATCCTAAACCCTAATCATTGATCAAACATCCTTAGCAGCAACCCAAGCTAGGCCAAGTGCGAATGTGCACTGGAGACGCTCAGCAAGTTGGCTGATGGTTTCTGAAGGGAGCGTGGCCTGTGGTCCGTAGAAGCGTCCCAGAATGTCCCATTGGCTCGCGCACATGCACGTAAGACCTCTATGTGCTATTTGAAAACCTTCTTGTTTATGTATCTGAAGAGTGAGCGAGAGAGAGAGAGAGAGAGACAGAGAGAGAGAGGGAGACAGAGCGAGAGAGAACGCGAGAGACAGAGCCCAAAGCATCCCACCAAGAGAATTCCGAATTGCTCACACCATGGAAGATCGCAGAGAAGGGCCCCTATCACTAGCCAGTATGGCTTCCACATTCATTAGGATGGGGATGATCGAAGCGCATAGTCCAGATTCTCCCTTCCAGCTACCCCTTGCGATCCTCAGGAAACAGAGACATGAAGACATACCAAGACAAGATAGGAAGGATTCTTCCCTTTGCGCCCAGTTGAATGACTGAAGGGATAAGAAATGGAATGGTGAGAAGGGAGAACCCCATGTTGGAAGATGTCTTTCTCACATCAGTCAGACAAGAGCAATTTAAAAAACAAGGGAAGAGAGGTAGGATTCAGGATACAGACGCAAAGAAACGAAACAACCTCGGAAACAGCTGGCAGCTGGACCGAATAGAGCGAGATCCTTGCCACACCAGAAATCGGCCGCAATTCTTTCTGTTGCTCTCCTCCTTTCCTCTGCTTCTGGTGATCTTCTACTATCATCCGCCTTCCTCTTCTTCATCCTGTGCCTTCTCTGGCAGCCAAAGCTTTACACAAAGTGTTTAACGACTCATCAAGCCTAAACCCTAAACCACTTGAAGCCGAAACCCAAACAGGTCCATTGCACAGAAATCTTCACAGACCTCCGCAGACCCCACAGGACACCCCATAAAGCTCTAACAAACCTCTCAATTCTCGACCCTCAGACCATTTGAACAGTATAGGGTTTGGGGTTATAGGGTTATAGGGTTATATAGGGTTATAGGGTTAAACGGTTATAGGGTTTTAGTAGGGCTACAGGATATAGGGTTTAGGGTTATAGGGTTTAGGGCTTAGGGTTTAGGGTTTAGGGGTGCTAGCCGGGGCATTGGAGCTTGGAGCTACACCGGGCGGCGCTTCCTTTTGGCCATGTTAGGCCCTTTGCGAGGGCGCGTCGAAAATTGAGAAGGATGCGCTTCTTTGAGTTTAGGGTTTGGGGTTTAGGGTTTAGGGCTTAGGGTTTAAGATTTAGGGTTTGGAGATTAGAGATTCAACCCAGAGAATTCAATGACCGAAAGACATGGCGGTATCCCTCTGCAGCAGTTTTTGAGAAGCTCATGGAGCAGCTTGATTTGGTCTCGCGGGCCTCTGTAAGCAGAGGTTACAGAAAACGACACCTGTGACTCCTCTACTGTTTGCTTAGGAGCCCTCCCCCCAAAAAATGTAAGAAGACAATCCCTGTATCACCCTTGTATTCCGGTAGATGATTCTAAACCCTAAACCCTAAAACCCTAAACCCTAAACCCGGAGTGTTCTTAAGCAGTTGGTAGCCCTGCGGGACGTGCGCTGTAGGATGCAGATGGCCACCGATGAAGCTTCGTGTCAGAGAACACGAGCTAGGCCCCAAACTTACAACAACTCAACAGATCTCCCTAAACCCTAAACCCTAAACCCCAAACCCTGAACCCTAAACCTTTTAGCCTAGACCTCACTGGGTCAGTTTACTGGCGCATACGCAGCGGCAGCCGTCCTGTTTCAAGTGTTTCAAGTTGGCAACCTTCCCCGGCGCGCAGCCGAATCGGTACTTTCTCTTTGGGGGCTTAGACCCTCAAGGGTGTAGGGTTTAGGGTTTAGGGCTCAGGGCTTATAGGCTTAAGGAGTTTTTCGCAGGAAACTGTAAGGCTGCACGTGCCAGGGGTTTACGTCCGGCAGGCACCAGTGAGCAGCGCCGCACACACTCATGGCTCCTGCCTGAATCGCAAGGCAATACGGCGCAGAGATCTTTAGGGTTTAGGGTTTAGGATTGAGGGTTTAGGTATAAGAGCCGCGCCAGGCACGAGACCGGAAGCAAGAAGGTATAAATAGCAACCCTACCCAGAGTAGCCTGTAGATTCTTTTACAAAGGCATTCATATTCTTTGAACAAGGGTATACACATATCATACTCCTATTGTACTCGTACTATCCTCATATTAAACTCATATTGTTTATTCCCTTTTTGGGGGGGGTTTAGGTTCCCTTATAAACCCCTTTATGCAAAACAAGGGCACCCTGTTTAAGCCTAGGTTACTGGGCAGCCTAGGCACTCCTTCAAAAAATGGGTAATGTACCTTGAAGGTCGAAAAGATGCTGCGCCGACTTGCGATCGCAGGAGCCCTGCAGAAACCTGGAGCAATGCAAGATCTGGTGACCGTGGTTCAAAAAAAGCTCTCTGTTTAGGATTTAGGGTTTAGGGTTTGGGGTTTAGGGTTTAGGGTTTAGGGCTCGATTAAGCCCTAAGCATTGGGATGTTCCCCCTTATGCTAGCAGTCCTTAACAGGGATTACAGTATCCCGATGAGAATCCCGATAAAGGACTAGCATTAACAAGGGGGAACATCCCAACCTAAACTACTATTTGCTTAAGAACCCCAAAAGCATTAAATATCATAATCCCTGTATAACCCTTAATGAGGAAGAATGGTTTGTGTTTTTTCGGGGTTCTGAAGCAATTAGTAGTAAAGAACTTGTATGCGATCCCGAACATGCCGTGCCAAACACGAATCTCAAGCCCGACTCCCTTGACGTAAGGATGGGCTTGCCGAACGACCACAAGCAAAAAATAGGGTTTAGGGTTTAGGGTTTAGGGCTTCGGGCTTAGGGCTTAGGGCTTAGGGTTTAGGGTTTAGGGTTTGCTTTGCACCAGGCGTGGACGGTTGCACCCCCCCCCCCCACAGTGCGGTGCGAGGCTGCTAGGCAGCTTGCAAAAACGCACCCGTCGACGCTGAATCCCTGAACTCTCGGCCCTCCAATCAAACAATTGTAACCCTAAACCCTAAACCCTGAATCCCTAAACTCCCTAAACTCTTGGCCCTCCGTTCTGCCCCGGTCTCAGGAAGAAGCGAGATCCCATTTTTCACAGGGGGAAGCCCCTTTGGCGGCAACGGGATGTTGCGTAAGCTAGGGTTAAGGGTTTAGGGTTTAGGGTTTAGGGTTTAGGGTTTAGGGTTTAGGGTTTAGGGTTTAGGGTTAGGCTTAATCCGCTCCCCCTAACATTAAACCACCCCCCCCCAATATTAAATACTACAGTATACGGGGGGTGGTTAAATATTAGGGGGTAGGGGGGATTTTGGGGGGAGGGGATTAGTTTTGAGCGTTGCAAGACCCTAGTTGAGAAGGAGTTAACCCTAAACCCTAAACCCCAAACCCTATACCCTAAACCCTAAACCCTATTCAACTGTGTTTGGGCTTCGAGACTTTTTGTTGTTTTTCGTTTTGTTTTTTTTTTTTTTGGGGGGGGGGGGGGAGGGGTGGTTAATGCCCAACAGCAGCAACCCTGAAACCTAAACCCAAAACCTTAAGACCCTAAACCCCAAAATCCCGGGTTGATGCCCGAAGCCTCAAGCTAATGCGACCACAAACTAAGGCTCAGCTGGGTTTCGGAGTTATACTTCAATACGTTTTTTGCTTCTGGGTTCCTCTTACAGCTTCTGGGGTGGCTGTCAAAGTTAGGGTCTGTTTTGGATCCCTACTACAATACGGCACCTAACATTTAGGGTACACCAAAAGAGATCATGTTTTTGACAACCACCCAATTATACCCAAACAGCATGTACTTTTTCCAGGGTTTGCTACAAAAGTAGGGGTCAGAGACCTCTTGTTAAAAGAACTCAGCCAACTTGGCCCAATGCCACCCCTGACGCTTCGTAGCCTTGAAGCTGTCTCCGTGTGGGGTTTAGGGTTTAGGGTCTAGGGTTTAGGGCCATGTATCCAGGTACACCAGCGAAGGATGTGCCACGTTCCTAAGCTGCATGTGCTCGGGAGTGCGCGTGCCTATAAACATGGCGGGTTTACGAAAGCAAGGGCCCCCCAATATAGACACCCAGATAGTCGGTTGTTCCCCTTGCAATAAGGACCCCTATATAGGGTACCCCTAATCTCGTAAACCCTAGACCCTAAACCCTAAACCCTCAAAGCCCCATAAACCCCCATATGGTTTTCGGGCGAACAGGTAGAGTCAGAATTCATTGCTTTTTGGCATTCAGTAGCATCCTTGGGCACCACATGAACTCCACAAGTGGCGGGTCATCTACCCTGTATACATTCCCTACTAGGGTATGTGAACCCTAAACCCCAAACCCTAAACCCCAAAACCCTAAACCCTAAACCCTAAACCCTAAACCCCGTTTCGGGTTCGTTCGGTCCCCAAGGTTGCTTGTGAACATCTTACCGGACAGAGTAGGCATAGGCGCGGCCCTTCCAGGAGCTCTTCTGAGGGTAGTTACATGGTCTCTGAAGGCAGGTTTAGGGTTCAGGGTTCAGGGTTTAGGGTTTAGGGTTTAGGGCTTATGGTTTAGTAAGGGTTTAGGGTTTAGGGTTTAGGGTTTCGGGTTTAGGGTTTAGGGTTTAGAAGGTTGATGCCCCTAGGTTTTGGCGGACAAACCGGTTCAAGCGCGTCGACAAGCACATCTTCGACTACGACAAGCTCTCACAGCAGGACCTTTCTTCACCAATGGTGGTTTAGGGTTTAGGGTTTAGGGTTTAGGGTTTAGGGCTTAGGGGTTAGGGGTTAGGGGTTAGGGTTTAGGGTTTAGGGTTTAGGGTTCATGGGACTCTACCTTGGACCCCTAACGTTCGTGGTACGGAGTAGGGAAACCTTTAGGGGCACAACCCTAAACCCTAAACCCTAAACCCTAAACCCTAAACCCTAAACCCTAAACCCTAATGGGAATCCCAAAAGGGGGCAGTCTGAGGGTTCAGACTTCATCAAGATTGGAGGAAGTGGCGCATCTGGTGCGGGACTCAAAGCAGGAGGAGAAGGTCGGGGCCGGGTGGGGGAGGGGTTTCGCTTGGTTGGTTTTGGGGATATCTTGTATTTTCTTTATTGAGGCTTATAAGGGGCCTTCTACATTCATGTTTTTTCAAAAGGTTTAAATGCCAACCCAGAAAGGCATGTGGCAGTTCGGGTTTATCTGTTTTGCGCCGCCCTAGGAAGCAGGAGTTGGCTGCTTGACTCTGGCCAGAGTTTCTAAGGGACGACAGGAGAGACCCTTATAAGCGACCTTAGCCCTAAACCCTAAACCCTAAACCCTAAACCCTAAACCCTAAACCCTAAATTTAGGGGCTTCTGAAGTATACAGGGACTGTCGAAGGTATAGATAGGGGTTCTACAGGGAAATACGATTAAGGGTCACTTCGAGGGTGTCCTTCCTTATACCCCTTAAGAGTTTCAGTTGGAGTTCTGTGGGCAATGATGCAGGACGACACTCTTTGCGCCATTCTTGCGAGCTAACTAAGCTCCCTAAGCCTCCAAGCCTTTACGCCTCATCGATGCAATCTCACAGAAAGACTCCAAAGCTGAAATCCTTGCCCATCCCCCTTAGGGTTAGGGGTTTCGGTTCAGGGTTCAGGGTGCAGGGTTTAGCCCAAAATCTCACAATCGGTTCGGGGCCATATGGGTCAGGCCTCGCAACCTGATGGGTTCAAGGTCGAACCCCGAGAGATCAGGAACCACTGACAAGGCTGATGCCCTCACCCCTAAAGCCTGTGGAAACCTCTCGCCGAAAACACGCACAAATTTGGACCCTTCTTGCGCTGCTCCTTTTTACCAGAAAAATCCTAAACCCTAAACCCCAAAAAGCTGCACCCTCTCTGAAGCTACCCGGGAGCTGCCAACCGGGAGTCTCTGTGCTCGCGGGCCCTGCTGCCCTTTGTTCGGGGGTTCGTCTCCCCCCTTGAAACGACGATGCGCGTCAGAACACTCAAAATATAAAATATTCTTCCTTGTAAGGGTACTATAGGGATTATTATCTATCTTTTTTTGGGGGCTCTTAAAGCCCGAAACCCTAAACCGTAGTCAAACAACAGGACAGAAATGTAATGACACCCTTCTCCTTTATAACTCCTGGCCTTCTCTCGGCCTACTTGGACGTTCATGGTACTTACTAACCAAACTGACTATACGAATAACCCACTTATCAGCCCCTTAAGTGCCCTAATATGGGTAGAAGTACCTGTATAAGTACAGTTACAACTGGCTAATAAGTACCATGAACCTCCAGGTAGCAACCCAGAACCCCCAGAACCCCCCCCCCTCCCCCCTGTCTCCGAATCTTTTGCATCCTTGGGGACGAAATAAACCCTAAAATCGGAGTCATCTACCCTATACTACTAAAATCCCTATGAAGGTATATGAACCCTAAACCCTAAACCCTTATAAACCCTAGCCCTAAACCCGAGAATTGGGGTCATCTACCCTATACTACTATACCCCCGATTAAGGTACATGAACCCTTATATAACCCTTTTAGGGCTCATTTGGTCCACCAGGATAATTAATTTCTAGACTGCCAGGATGAAACGCCAGAAACCCAAAACCCCTAAACCCTGAACCCTAAACCCTAAACCCTTAACCCTAAACCCTAAACCCTAGCCCTAAACCCTGAACCCCCCCCCCCCCCCCCCAAAAAAAAAAAAAAAAACAAAAAACAAACAAACAACAAACAAGCTTGCAGGTGAACCAGAGGCTGTCGAAAGGCAACATTGCGCTCGCCGTGATTTTGGAGGTCCTGGTCGACTGTTGGCCTTGGGGTTAGGGTTTTCGGGTTAAAGCGTCAAGGGTGCCCAGACCCCTGGGAGGATCCTAAAAAAAAGACCCCCGAATAGTACCCTATACTAGTAATGGGTTATTCTTAGGAACCCTTAAGGGGATCTACTTTTTGGATCCTCCCAGGGGTCTGGGTGTAGGGTTTGCGTCAGGTTTTTGAGTTTACGGCTGGGGTAGGGCGAGGGGGGGTACCATGGGGGCGAGGGTTACTGGCACGCGACACGGCACCATGTATACCTTCTAAGGGTTGAAAAAGGGTACCCTGATTTCCTCATTCTCCAAACTTAGAACCACACCCTAAACCCTAAACCCTAAACCCTAAACCCTAAACCCTAAACCCTAAACCCTAAACCCTAAACCCTAAACCTAGGTCAGCAAGTGGTAAGTGTGTTTAAGTTTGCATTACTGGCCTCCGGCGTGCTGAATTTCGGGTTGTAGTTTTATGTCTTTCAAGGGTTCAGGGTTTAGGGTTTAGGGTTTAGAGTTTAGGGTTGTTTCTGCTGTAGGGGGGCTATGTGTCTGCCCGCGCCTGCCAGGACAAGCACATGAAGTGCCTTGGCAGCAAAGTTGGGGGAAGAGTACTGTTCTACTCCTGTTGACTGGTTTAGGGATGATTTAAGGGGTATCAGGAGGGACCCCTAGAAGGGAACCTTAATCTTATTTAATGGCTACCGCCAGTGCCGCCGACCCCAGATCCAAGAGAGTCCGACTGACGTCGTTGCGGCGAAGATCTCGCAGGCCGGGGGGGAAGGGTTTAGGGTTTAGGGTTGAGGGTTTAGGGTTAAGGGGTGGCAACAGCTTCAACAGTTTGCGGTGGCGGCTGCACTAAGATGCAGTCCTTCTCCAGATACTTGGAGGTTCAGGGTACTTACTAACTCAAGTAGAATTGTACTTATAACCCAAGTATATGATGGAGCCATGGGAGCATGAGGCCAGTGGGGGTATGAGGGCGTGGAGCCAGGCGGGTCATGGTGCATGAGCGGGAGTGGGCGTATGAACCCATGAGACGAGGTGAGGCCCCACGGCTGATGGAGACATGGGGGGGGGGGGCATGGTGGGCCATAGGGGGGGGCGGAGAGGGCGGGAGGAGCGGAGGGGAAACACTGGAGCCCTTCAAATTCAGCTTTGAATGGAGCCATGAGAGCATGAGGCCAGAGCCATGGAGGCCATGGGGTCATGGGGGTATGAGTGCGTGGAGTTATGGGGGTCATGGTGCATGAGCGGGAGTGGGCGTATGAATATGAGACGCTGATGGGGACATTGGGGGGGGCATGGTGAGCCATAGGGGGGGGGGGGGGGAGCCTTAAGGCACGGCGCCGTAGGTCAAAGGGGGCCATGGGTCGGAGCGGGCGGAGCCATAGGGGGGGGGGGGGGGAAAAGGCAGAGGGAGCGGGTGGGCAGGATTGGGCAGGATTGGAGCCCTTCAGCTTTGGATGGAGCCATGGGAGCATGAGGCCAGTGCCATGGAGGCCATGGGGTCATGGGAATATGAGGGCGTGGAGCCATGGGGGTCATGGTGCATGAGCGGGAGTGGGCGTATGAACCCATGAGACGACTGATGGCGACATGGGGGGGGGCATGGTGAGCCATGGGGGGGGGGGGGGGGAGTGGAGCCTTTAAGGCACGGCGCCGTAGGTCAAAGGGAGGGCCATGGGCGGAAGGAGCGGAGCGGGTGGGCCGGCACTGGAGCCCTTCAAATTCAGCTTTGGATGGAGCCATGGGAGCATGGAGTGGGCGTTGGGCGTTGAACCCATGGGACATGGGGGGGGGGGAGTGGGAGGCCAGTGCCATGGAGGCCATGGGGTGACGGGGGTGTGAGGGCGTGGAGCCATTGGGGGTCATGGTGCATGAGCGGGAGTGGGCGTATGAACCCATGAGACGAGGCGGGCTGATGGGACGTGGGGGGGGGCATGGTGGGCCATAGGGGGGGCACGGCGCCGTAGGCGCCATGGGTCGGAGCAGGCGGAGCTATGGGGGGAGGGCGGAAAAGGCGGAGGGAGCCATAGAGGGGGGGCCTCACGGCTGATGGGGACATGGGGGGGGGGGGGGCATGGTGGGCCATAGGGGGGGGGGGGGGGGGGAGTGGAGCCTTTAAGGCACGGCGCCGTGGGGTTCGAGCGGGCGGAGCCATAGAGGGGGGGGGGGGGGGGCGAAAGCACGGCGCCGTGGGGCCATGGAAGCGCAGGAGATATGGGTCTTCACTGACGCCGCCCCGCTGCCGCTGGGGTCGGCGGATTCCCCTATACAACCCCAATATCTACCTCATACGGTCCCTATAAACCTCAGAAGCCGCTAAATAACCCCTAAGAAACCCCTAAGGTCCCTTTCCGGGTGCTTCCCTTAGTCCCTTGAGTCATGACACCCCACGCCCGATACTCTCGTCACACCCTAAACCCCTAAACCCTAAACCCTAAACCCGAAACCCTAAACCCTAAACCCTAAAAACCCTAAACCCCAAACCCGAAAGTGGCAGAGCCTGGTTACAACGGGCGCGCGTGCTGAGGACGCGGCATGGCGTGGGACACCAGCTTTGCGTCCATACCTCAGCTGCAACAGGAGGAAGGATGCCCTACACCCTCAACCCTAAACCCTAAACCCTAAACCCTAGTTCGAATTAACCCCTAAACCCGAAACCCGGTCGATGAAAACTGGTGGGTCTCCAGTCTTGAGTAACAGACCAGGGTGCCAAAAGGGCCCTGATTTAGGTCAACTCCATGTCGCAATTGTAAGTGTGCGGTGCCGAAGCGGGTGTGCTAGTCATCAAAGCGGCTTTCTTCAGCTAGGCTGGACATGTGCTATTTGCAAAACTGCTTGCAAAGTTATCGTTTGCGTGGGTTCTTTGTCTGTAGCAGTTCTGGGACAACTCCTCGCACTCTAGGATGTTGGGAGCCGGAGGGGAAACGGCTGATATGACTGACTGCTGTTGCCCTCGACGCAGAGGTAGTATAACAGTAGATGACACCAGAAGCCATGGTAGCTGAATGAGTACACTTTCCCCTATGCCCTAAACCCTAAAACCCTAATCCCTGAACCCTAAACCAGGCCAGTGTAAACTTTGTTAGGGCTTAGGAGCTCGACAACGAAGAAACGATGGGAGAAGACACAACACAATAGAAGGGGAACGCCTATGGAACCCTTATCTACCCTGCAAAACCCAAGGGCCCATACTTCCGAACCCTTTCAAGGAGGGCGAGGGACCATGTTCAGGGACCCTGTAGCCCTAAACCCTAAACCCTAAACCCTAAACCCTAAACCCTAAACCCCGAAGGTCGTGAATACACACATCCTGTGCGACCCTGCAGCGGCAGACGTGAAGCTGTGGCAGTCTCATCTTCTGATCAAGGCCAAGCCCCCCCCCCCCCCCCCCCCCAAAGAAGTTTTAGGGTTCAGGGTTCAGGGTTCAGGGTTTAGGGTTTAGGGTTTAGGGTTTAGGGTGTTACTTGGATGAGGGTACCTATAAACGAAATTACAACTGTGCTTCGAAGCCCCCTAAGCCCCCAAGTCCTCTAAGTACCCTAAGTAGGTTTTCAGGTTGTCTTCTAGAGTGTTTCGGCTGTAGGTTGGGATGTTTCCCTTCTTGTAGCACCTCCTTCATCGGGATTATAGTAGGGGTACGATAATCCCTATTAAGGACTGCTAGTGTTAACGTCGATTTGGCTGGGCTATTCAGGACACGGTGACTGTTTGTGGGGTGCGCGGTGGGACCCTCGAACCCTAAACCCTCAACCCTAAACCCTAAACCCTAAACCCTAAACCGGGTGTCGTAAGAAAATTTCGTGCGGTGCGAGTGCCATCCTGGAAGCCCCGAAATGCGAACATCGTAAGCGCTGACTTCATGCTGACTTCATGATATGTCCCGCAACGCCTGAAGCCTAAATTCTCAACCCGCAACCCTCAACACCTCAACCCTCATTAAGTATGAACCCTAAGCACTAAACCCTCAACCCTCAACCTTCAACCCTAAACCCTAAACCCCAAACCCTAAACCCTAAACCACCCTCAGCCCTAAACCCTATAAATGTTTGACCCACCGATCCTGGGGTTGGCTTTTAGGGTTTCGGGCGTAGGGCCTCAACCCTAAAACCCTTAAAAACCCTTGAGCCCTTAAGCCCTTAAACCCAAAGCCCTCAACCCTCAACCCTAGACTGGGTTAGGACTCAGCAGTGCTCTGACATGTCGGGACTCAAGGCAGCTAGGGCGCACAACGCGGAACAAAACCCCATCACCCCTAGTTGAATGAGCCCATCCGCATTTCTTTCCGAAGCCCTATAACCCCCAAACCCCAAACCCCAAACTCCAAACCCCAAACCCCAAACCCCAAACCCCAAACCCCAAACCCCAAACCCCAAACCCTAAACCCTAAACCCTAAACCCTAAACCCCAAACCCTAAACCCTAAACCCTAAACCCTAAACCCCGTTTTTCTTGCGCGCAGTCCATCAGAGACACGACGCGAGGGAATATCCCCACTCTGGTTTGCGGCCCCTTGGACTGCTGGTGCCTCCGGGCTTTCGGGTTTTGGGGCTTGGCGTGGTTACCCTAAACCCTAAACCCTAAACCCTAAACCCTAAACCCTAAACCCTAAACTCCTTAAACCCCAAACCCTAAACCATCAACCCCTGACCCTAAGTCAGAGCCTACTTTTGGTTTGTAGGGAATGGAAGAACCTTGGGCTTATGGCTGCAAGATTCTTCTGCGACAGTGAGGCCGAGCGGCAACAAGGGCCCCCCCACCCCTTGGCAACCCTCAACCCCCAAACCCTACACCCTAAACCCTAAATCCCCCACCCCCCCCTGCCCCCCCTTGTGTGAAAGCTGAGGCGATTTTAACTCAACGCCCGACTCTGCCGTGTACGAGTATTTCCGACGGGGGCAGGCGGGTCATTTTGTTTGTTTCGAACTTCATAGGGGTTTAGGGGTCCAACTCTCAAACCCTAAACCCTAAACCCGTTGAGGGTCCCCTAAACCCTAAACCCTAAAGATGGGACGTCAAGTGCTATCCTCCAAGGAGCTTGTTTCACCTTTCCTCGCTCCCTGGTGTTCTTGTCAAATGTGCTGCGCCCGACTGCTTGACGCAAGGCTACCCTTCAACGAAACCTAGACGCCCAATCTGGAAACCCTACACCCCTGAAACCCTTCGAAAGTGCCAAATGCTGAGATGCAGGAGTTCTTGCCACTCCATCTAGACATGATGTGCCGAAGCTACAACGAATGACCACTGGCTGGTTTTTAGAAGGGAATGAGGGAATGAGGTACCTTATATCCCCCTAAACCCTAAACCCTAAACCCTAAACCGTAAACCCTAAACCCTAAACCCTAAACCCTAAACCCTACATAAACCCCAAACCCTTTAAGGGATTCTATAGGGACTCCCCCATTCCCTACTAAGAACCAGAGTAAACCAAGCAGGTGCGGCCCGACCACGAGGACCTAAAGAAGGACCCCTGCGGCCTCATCAGGCGCCGGAACACGCCTTCGGAGTGGGTTTAGGGTTTAGGGTTTAGGGTTTAGGGTTTAGGGCTTAGGGCTTAGGGCTTAGGGCTTAGGGCTTAGGGCTTAGGGCTTAGGGTTTAGGGTTTAGGGTTTAGAGTCTGAAGTTTGTAGAATGCCTTGCTCAGGCACATGGAGGGCTGTTGTGGTGATGTAGGTTTGTGCATCTTACATACGCATATACATTTTTTATTTCTATTCTGATTTATTTGTTCATTTCTCTATTTTTTTATTTATGTATTTATTTATCTACTTATTTTTATAGCCATTGGTATATACTTGCATAGCATAGCATAACATATTTGCTCCTGCTGTGGTTTCCGTCGTGAAGTCGTCCCCCCATGCCCTGCAGGCAGCTCACCTTGCAGCACAACTTTCAGATGGCCACCGCCTACGAGACCTGCACGTGCAAGGAGGTCTGCAGCGGACGGCGAAGTCAGCAGGGTCTACGGTTTAGGGTTTATGGTTTAGGGTTTAGGGTGGTGTTCTATCTGCAGGGTGCCCCGCAATCACCCCGAACTGAAGCCTGAGCCTAAGCTCCAAAGGCCTCACTCCTGAAATCCCGAAACCCAAGACCCTGTCTAGACACTTGAGGGGGTGGACCTGCCTATTGAAGGTACTCCGCCTCGTAGATCGGCTGAGGCTACAGGTATCTCGAGCGTCGAAACTCGGGGTTTTTCTGCGACCCAACATTCCTGGAAACGAAGCGAAGACCCGGAACTCTGAACCCCAACAAGTTTAGGGTTGAAGGGTTTAGGGTTTAGGGTTTAGGGTTTAGGGTTTAGGGTTTAGGGTTTAGGGTTTAGGGTTGGGAATTTCGGGAACCCTAAGCCCTAAAGCCTAAACCCTCCCCGAATGCAAAGTGCAGTGTGTCTCAGGCCACCTTCACCAACTACACCGAGGATTTCAAGGGGACCTTGGACTACATCTGGCGCCTCGCTAGTCTCTACTGCTTTGTTTTTTCCATTTTTTTTTTTTTTGGGGGGGGGGGGGGGGGGGGGGTTGAAAAAATCGGTTTTAGGGTTTAGGGGGGCTGAGGGGCGCGGGCCAAGAGAAGCCGACGCCATATAAATAAATAAATATATATATATATATATGTATATACACAGAAGCAAACAATCTCCACGGCTACAAGATGTCAGGTTTTTTGGGGTTGTCATGCAAAGGGAGACGAAGTGTGCGCCGAATGGCTGAGCGTCCGGACTTCTCTGCCTGTGATGCTCAGAGACTTCTGAAGGATGCGGGGTGTCAGGGGTCCAGCCCTAAAACTTAAACCCTAAACCCTAAGCCCTAAACCCTAAACCCTAAACCCACGAATCCAACCCAGGTTCTCGCCAGAGAACATCTCCGTGCTGGCGATCTCGCAGGTGGACGATGAAGCAGAGCTGTCCAAGGCAAGTTTAGGGTTTAGGGTTGGTTTTGTGTGCACCTCAGCGAGCCCGGGTTCAAAAGGGTTTTGTGTGCTGAGTTTGCGGGACTCTTGGCAGTATTCTGTCTTAAAGTGTGCATTGGATGGGCGATTTCGGTGGGTCTTTCGTTCCGTTCTCACCATATTATTATTGCGTGCTTCGTTCATGTATTCACTCATTACCAAATATTGTACTCTCTTTCACCTTGGAAACACACGATTAATGCGGTTATCACTGGTGAGCCGGGGAAATAGGGTCTTTTAAGGGGGACACAGGGCTTATTATGAGGTTAATCGTGCGCTCTCGGTGGGTTAAAGAGATTATATATTATTTAACATGATGACGGGCGGTCCGGCGAGGTCCTCAGTCCGGCTGCAAAAAACAAGACAGGGTTCCGGGTTGCAGTTTATCCTTATCCTAGGTGGCCACCTAAACTCTGCCAACAACTTCGAAGCTCGCTCTTGCGGGGGTGGAGCTTAGGGTTTAGGGTTTAGGGTTTAGGGTTTAGGGTTTAGGGTTTAGGGTTTAGGGTTTAGGGTTTAGGGTTTAGGGTTTAGGGTGGCTGTGGGGGGTTCATTCAGGCCATGTCAACACGCAACACGCAGGAGACTGCGCTGCCCTCCAGCACGAGGCCCTCCGACCACGTATCGCTGGTGGCCACCTTCATGCCTCTCGCAAGAAAAGAAGCCTAGAAGACCGAACAGACCTACCCTGGGTTTTGGAGTACTGTACTTTAAATACTTTTTTGGGTTCTGGGTTCCTATTTTAGCTACTTATACCTAAAAAGTATATACTTTTTTTCCAGGGTCTGCTCAAAAAGGTAGGTACCTGTCCTGCGGAAAAGAACAAACCCTGGACCCCAAACCCGTTTTGGGGGGCAACAGGCCAGGTACCTGGCCTAGGCTTGTCTCGGATTGCCAAGGATCATGGTGCCATTGCGGCAACAACGCAAACATGCATGTATACACACACACACACCATTTTTCTATTTCCATGCACGTGTCTATGTAATTTGTCTATTTCCATGCACGTGTCTATGTATAATATGATTATATGTCTAATATGTCATCATTGCGGGGAGGGGCCCTTGTCGCAGGGTACCCTGGAGGAATCGGCTCCCCAGTCTCCCCCCTCAAGCCCTGACAAACAAAAATGCCATCGACCATGAGCCCTGTAAGCCACAAACTGCCCCCAACACCCTAAGCCCCCCCAAATCCTGAACCCAAAATAGAAGCCTCGAGCCGTAAGAGTGCAGCCGCTTGCATGGCCCTAAACCCCAAGCCCTAAACCCTAAACCCTAAACCCTAAACCCTAAACCCCCAGAACTCTTCCCGGGTCTCCCGCCCAAGGTTCCAGGACATGACGCCGGAGCAGGAGCAGCAGCAGGCCACGCTGAGTCTGCTGGGGTTCAAGTGAGGGGTTTATCGGGGTTTAGGGTTTAGGGTTTCGGGTTTAAGGGTTAGGGTTTCTAGGGTTTTGGGATTAGGGTTGGGGCTTGGGGTTTAGGGTTTGGGGTTTAGGGTTTGGGGTTTGTAGGGTTTAGGGCTTGGGGCTTAGGGTTAAACACGAGTTTCGCCTCTTCAGTGTTCAGGCGTAGGGTTTAGGGGTTTGGGGTTAGGGTTTATAGTGTTTGTAGAGCTTGTAGGGCTTGGGCTTTCTGGCTTGGGTTTTAAATAGGGTTTAGGGGTTTGTAGAGTTTAAGGCTTGCGGATTAGGGTGTGGGGCTTAGGGGTTGTGGGTTGAGGTTCAGGCCTTGGGGTTTATGGTTTAGGGGGTTTGGGGGGGCTTAGGTTTGCGTATGGGGTTTAGGGTTTATCAGGGCTTGGGGTTCAGGGGTTGATGGGGTTTTGGATTTGGGGTTTTGGGGTTTATGGGGTTTGGGGAAACCCTGAACCCTAAACCCTAAACCCTAAACCCTAAACAGCCCTAAACCCTAAACCCCAATAGCAGAGCCTTTTGTTCGCCACGCCGTGGACTCTGGAGACTCCGCCTTCTGGTCACTGGACCTCAAAGGGTTTAGGGTTTAGGGTTTAGGGTTTAGGGTTTAGGGTTTAGGGTTTAGGGTCATAAATCCGTAAACCCCTTACTAACACTCAAACCTAATCGTTCTGTAAGGTTTCGGGTTGAGGGTTTAGGGCTCAGGGCTTGGGGCTTGGGGTTTGGGGTTTGGGGTTTAGGGTTTAGAGTTTGTCATGCTTGTTGGCCAGCTGATAGTGCAGAGCCTGGCTTCAACACAAAAGGGTTCAGGGTTTAACTTTATGTAGGGTTTAGGGTTTATAAGTTTAGGGTTTCGGGTTTAGGGTTTGGGGTTTAGGGTTGCAACCCCGAATCCTGGAATGCTCCTCAGATGGGCCCGCTCGGCCGCATGATGATAACGACCGGCACTCACGGCCGTCACAGCCGCCTGGCACTGAACATGAGCGATATTCTGGGTTTAGGGTTTGGGACTTGGGGAGGGTTCGGGGTTTAGAGTTGTGATGTTCCCCCTTATACTAACAGTCATGAATACGGATTATACTAGGGGGTACTAGAATCCCAATTAAGGAGTTTTAGTATAGGGGGGGGAGCATCCCAAGAAACATCCGTTAATCATTCATGGAATTCAATCGGCGATGGCTCGCGTCTTCGATCTGCCTTGAAGCATTCAACCTTTCAAACGTAGAGCCCTCCAATTATGTGAACGACCGCCGATAAGATTTCATGTTCAGCAATGAAGCGCTGGTGTGAGGAATGGCAATTAGCGGCCAATGGGCCACTATGGATTCCAAAAGCGTGGAGGTAGTTTGAGGCGAAAGCCCTTGAAACTTGAAACATAGGGTGCAACAAGGATGCAAGCTGTCACGCCGCGTAGCCCTGAATGTTTAGTTCAGGGTTTAGGGTTTGATCTTCCGGTAAATCTTCCGGAGCCTACTGCAAAGAAGGTTTTAGGGTTTAGGGTAGACCTTAGGTTATTGATGCCAAGAAGCCCAAGCTTTGCATCACTGGAGGTATGGGACACCACATCGGCCCACACTACGGCCATCACGGTCACTGGGCAAACCCTAAACCCTAAACCCTAAACCCTAAACCCTAAACCCTAAACCCTAAACCCCAACTTAAAACACGCATTGGCAGACCTCTGGCATGAAGTAACCGGGTATGGGATGTGCGGGTTTAAAGAGGGGACCCCGAATATAGACCCCCAAATAGTAGGATCCCTTTTTTCATAAGGACCCCAACAAGGCACCCCTAACTAAACCCTAAACCCTAAACCCTCAACCCTCAACCCTCAACCCTAAACCCTAAACCCTAAACCCTACAATATCGCAACCTGCCCAAGTGAACCCCCCCGCGTGGACTATAGGGCTGAGGGGTTGAAGGGGTAGTGGAGTTGACGGCGGAGACTTCGGCAGTAAGAACTTCACCAGAACCAACGCCTCGTCTGATGTAGACCCTGCACGCAGGGTTTAGGGTTTAGGGTTTAGGGTTTAGGGTTTAGGGTTTAGGGTTTAGGGTTTAGGGTTTAGGGTTTAGGGTTTAGGGTTTAGGGTTTAGCCCTGAAAACCTAAACCCCACTTGGAGGATCGGGGCACTTCGTAAGTAGGGAAGTACCCCTAAACCCTAAACCCGAAACCCTAAACCCTAAACCTACAAGCGGCCTTTGGGGGCTGAAGTGCTGAGAAGTTGAGCGTTTTGGGGGTTGGGGGTGGGGGGGCGTACTAGGGTTCAGCTCAAGAAAGACCCCAACAAACAACCCTGTGAACAACTTGTTGCACAGCTATAAACCCCATGTGCAGCTCAAAAAATACCCCCCAAAATCCAAAACCCAGAGCCCAAAACCCCAAACCCCCCAACCTCTAAACCCCTAAACCCTAAACCCCCGACCCAAAACCCAAGACCCTGGCCCTAAACCCAAACCCCAAACCCTAAACCCTAATTAAACCCTAAACCCCTAAACCCCTAAACCCCTAAACCCCTAAACCCCTACCCCTAAACCCCTAAACCCCTAAACCCCTAAACCCCTAAACCCCTAAACCCCTAAACCCCTAAACCCCTAAACCCCTAAACCCCTAAACCCCTAAACCCCTAAACCCCTAAACCCCTAAACCCCTAAACCCCTAAACCCCTAAACCCCTAAACCCCTAAACCCCTAAACCCCTAAACCCCTAAACCCCTAAACCCCTAAACCCCTACGCCCTAAGCCCTCAACCCTAAAACCGAAACCCTAAACCCCTCCCCTAAACCCGAACCCCCTAAGCCCCGAAACCCTAAACCCTAAACCCTAAACTCCCAAACAACAACTCCCAACTCGCGGGGGCACCTCCGGCTTTTCCCGCGCCACCTCCGAGAGCGGCTTCCGTTGTTCCCATGCTTCTTTTGTTTGGGGCGAGAGTTAGGGTTATTTAGGGTTTAGGGTTTAGGGTTTAGGGTTTGGGGTTTAGTTTAAGGCTCTAGTAGCGTGTCCGTAGAAGCTAGATGTTTCCTGATCAAGCGTGCGTAAGCAGCAGATATTCTGCTGGCTAATCTGTTGAGCCATACACTCCATACGCCCCTAAACCCTAAACCCCGAACCCCAATCCCTAAACCCTAAACCCTAAACCCTAAACCCCCAAACCCTGAATGCCAGGCACTTGCCTAGACCCCAATTCTTGACCACCACCGACCCTGAAGGTTCTGTCATGCTGGCCCTGAAACCTGAAAAGGGAGCCTACAGAACCCTAAACCCTAAACCCTAAACCCTAAACCCTAAACCCTAAACCCTAAACCCTAAACCCTAAACCCTAAACCCACTCCTTAAGGGGCAAAAAAGTGTGTGAAGGCATGCCTTGAAGTTGTGTTAAGCAAAGGAGATATGAGGCACCTGGTTCCCTAATTTCCCTACTAGAAGCAAGCCAAATCTGCCTTCGGAATGGAAACAGGTGTGTCAGGGCCAATCCTGAGAGACCAGAGCGTTAGGGTTTAGGGTTTAGGGTTTAGGGTTTAGGGTTTAGGGTTTAGGGTTTAGGGTTTAGGGTTTAGGGTTTAGGGTTTAGGGTTTAGGGTTTAGGGTTTAGGGTGGGTACCATGGCTCGGGTTGAGGGTGTAGGGTCAGAGTTTTCGTTTGGGTTTCGTAGGGTTTATAGGGTTTCTGGGTGTAAGGGTTCAAGAAGCCTAACCCTGAACCCCTCCCTGAACCCCAAACCTCTAAGCCCTAACCCCCATAAACCCGAAATCCCACATATTCTTTGAGGCCCAAGAAGACCCAACTACCTGAAACTCCAAACTTCCTTTTTAGGGTTTAGGGTTTAGGGTTTAGGGTTTAGGGTTTTAATTGGGGTTAAAAGTAGTTATGAGTA